TCTATCTATTAAAAAAAAACGCATCAAAATCCGTTGCGAAGTTTTGAAGATTTAAGCATACATGGGGATATAGGGACAGAGAAAGCGACTTTGTTTTATACTATGTAGTGAAGTGATGTGCATTTTGAATATCAGTTTTTGATCAAACGTTACACCAAGGTCGTTGATGAATTCTACATTATCCATTTGTTGACCACCAATCTTATAATATGTTGACAAGTAAGGAGATGTATTCTTGAGGAACGTTATTGATTTGCAATTTGCATTTGGATATGTTGATTTTCAATAGGGTTGAAGAACACCAAGACGCAAATCTGTCGAGATCTGGTTACAGTGGGTTGGAAACTCCGTTCCTAACATTATAAAATTTCATATCATCAGCATATAGGGGAAAGTGCGAAGAATTGAAGCAGGAGGAAATATCATTGATAAATAACAGGAAAACAACAGGTCCCATGTGTGATGCTTGGGGAACACCGGAAGCGGTCTTGACGTTTTTTGAGGAGTAGTCATATTCACCCCTACCCACAAAGGGTAGGTTGAAAATGACTTAGAGATTGCACAAAATTTTAACTTATATTTTACAGAAAGTATTAGAGATATCGTAAATTCTACTAAAAGTGTACAGGGATATGACTTTGTATTGGAGAAAATCACTCGGTTAGAGTGTTCATTCGATAGTTTTAGAATTATTGATATTTACGAATTAAAACAAAAAATTGCAGGCATGGGAAAGGGATCCAGTGATGAGGACGGCATTGATTTGAAGTCATTTAAACTTGCCATTGAGGCAGTTGGTGAATATTTTTTGGAACTGATACGTTCCGGATGCGTGGAAGTGCTCAACCGTGATTCCAATAGAAAAAGTAGCAAAAACTATTATTTGCGCAGAACATAGGCCCATACCTTACCTGTTTATGAAAAAGCTCTAGAATTACTAGTAAAAGATCAGTTGATGCATTATATCAATTTAAATAATATATTGATTAGTGAACAATCAGGCTATGGGCAGGCTCATTCCTGTGAGACAGCTTTGCAGTTTTTGACATCCTCTTGGAGATGTTAGATAAAAAATAAAAAAGTAATTGGTGTAGTTTTCCTAGATTTTAGCAGGGCCTTCGAGGTCGAAACCATTAACATTGATTTACTATTACAAAAAATGAATAAATATGGCATTACAGGTAAAGTATTAGAATGGTTTAAAAGAGTTATTTGGAACAAAGATTTCAAAAGGTTAAATTCAAAAACTCAGTATCAGAAAAAATTGAAATTGGTCATGGTGTTCCAAGGATCAGTGCTGGGGCCCATTTTATTTTTCATATTTATTAATGACATAATAAAACACGTAAGGTATTGCAAAATCAAACTATTTGCAGATGATACAATACTTTATTTTATTTGCGATATTAATGAATTTCGAAACATTGAAAATAATTTAAATGAAGATCTTAATAACTTGCATGTTTGGTTAATGGAAAATGGACTTAAATTGAATGTAAACAAAACAAAATTTATAGTTTTATCCTCAAAGCATAATTTAATTCAACTCAAGAAACAAAACAAACTGAACATTGTTATTGATAATGCTCAGATTGAAGAGGTTAAATATTTCAAATATCTAGGAGTAATGATAGACCCTGAGCTCAACCTTTCTCTGCACTGTGAGTACATAAAAGAGAAAATCGCGAAAAAGGCAGGTTTTATGTATACGCTAACTAATAAAGTTTCACTAAACTCACAATTTACAAATCACTAATTCCACCACATTTTGATTATTGTGGAACATTATTTCATTTTTTAAATACAAGACAAAAAAACATGTTACAGAAACTGCAAAGCCGTTGCATGAGGGCAATTTTATTATGCAATAAGCGAACTCCTATTAGAAATATGCTCGAAAGGTTATACCTGATGAATGTTCATCAACGAGCTTCATACAATATGTTAGTCTTCGTTTACAAACTTAAAAATAATATGTTGCTGACATATTTAACTGATGAGGGGGTTTATGTTAGAGATATTCATACTCATAATACTAGGTCAAGATCAGTGAATGACTTCTATATTGCTGATTTCCAAAGTGAAACTGTGTTTAGTGTAGGTTTAAGATTGTTTAATAGCATCCCTAGGGACATGAAAGAATGCAACTCATTAAGAACTTTTAAAACAAAAACTGGTTATTATGTGAAGACTTTATAAATCCTTTTGGATGTACCTAAATACTTGTTTGCCTAGCTATTTGTATTTGTAATGACATTGTTAAGAGTAATTAAATTGCTAATAAAGTGTGATAATATTATACCTACTTATGATTGTTTTTTTAAAATTTATTATTAGCACACTAATGAATCTCGCTAAAAGTGGCAATTATCAAGGGGCAGTTGTTTTCAATATCACATCAACTAAACTAAAAAAAAAAAAAAAAATCCGGGTTTTCTCGGATTTCTACGGATTTATTCGGAATTTTTTAAATTTCAAACCGCCATTTTATTGGCCATAAAATTGCGCGACTTCACCCTAATTTAACTGACCTCGTATCTTTTAAAATAACCGTGATCCTTCTGGTTATAAAAATAAACACACTGTATATTTTTGTATAATATATTCCTCAATATATTCTAAGTGTGTTTTTACATGCGCCATAATAGTAGTGCTTGTTTCGAAAAGCAATAGTGACGTCAATAGCTATATTTTACATAAAATCGCACAACTCATGATAAAATCGTAGTGGGCTGCGATATTCAAGAAATCTCAAAAAGGTCCCGAGGTATTAAGGTACTCTTCTAAAATGAATGCCAAAAATCTACTTTAGCCTCCCTCCAGCAGAATGGGGTGAACCCAAGCTTTCACAAAAAAATCGCCAACCTATGTTTTACCTCGTATATCTTTTAGCAGGTGCCCGAAAATCTGTTAACAACTAAAAATTAAATAGCAATTAGAGCATTTTTTAACTCTTGAAAATTTGAACAAAATCGGCCTGCTAGATTTTGAGTAATAGGCTTACAAAAAGTGGCCAAAAATTGGGGTGTTCGAGTTCGATTGATGCGTAGTTTAGTTGATCGGAAACAATTTGTAAAGATAAAAAAAATTGTATCTCATTAATTTGATGTGCCATCGGGCTCCTCTACTATTTAATGTCTTTATTGATGATCTTATTACTGTTCTGGATTTTGGCTGTAATTTATTGTTTGTTGATGATTTGAAAATGTTCATGAGGGTGAAAATTGAAAATGAGTGCCGTAAATTGCAAAATGATATTGATAAACTTTATTCCTGGTGTAATGCACAATATCCCGAAAAAAAAAATAACATACTCTTTCCCTATAATATCAATAATCAACTTTTGGAGAGAGTCGATAAAATCAAAGCTCTTGGGATTTATGTCGATGATGAATTGCGATTTTATTATCACATAAACTTTATCAAGAATAAGGCACTAAAAATGTTGGGTTTTGTTGCCAGAACACTATCAAACTTTGATAATGTAAATTGCTCTAAGGTACTGTATTGTAGCTATGTTAGATCAGGTCTGGAATATGCATGTCCAGTTTGGTCTCCATTTTATAACACTTATGTAAATGACAGAAAAAATTCAAAGAAAATTCTTAAGACTTAGTAACTTTAAGTTGGGCATTCCAATTGATGATATAAACTATGGCTAACTCTACAAGCTTCCCAATTTACAAACATTGAGGTCTAGAAGAACACAGTTTGATATATGAACACTTCATAAAATCTGTAATAAAAATAATATAATCAATTGTCCTAAGCTATTGGAAAAAAGTCCGTTTGGAACTCCTCAGAGAGTAACTAGACAAAATGAGATTTTTGGAATAGATTTTCACAGGACTAACTATTAGGCAATCCAAACCACGTGACATTCAAAATGGCGTGGCGGCCACATATCAGCCAAACTTAATTTTTTAGTCGGGTGCTGTCTGCTATTTTTTCAGAGTTTCACGGTTTTATGTGCTTTAAAGTGTATTTGTGAGGGGTAAATCTGTAAAGTACAATACGACAAGACATTATCATTATGCATCCTCTAACTTACTTATTCGTTTTTCCATTATAAAACCATATATGATGGTTGAAAACATGATGCAAAATAGCACTTAATTATTTTTGTGATAAAATGCTTACTACAAACTCTTTGAGTTGCCACTTTAGATTATGAAAGATTGTTCCGTTTGATTGCCTCTAACTATGCTATTCGTCTTTTTCCTGATAGATATGCATTTAAATGCAGAAAACATACTGAACTGGGCACGCTTGGGACCCTGTAGGTTTGAGACATTGTCCCTTTCTCGAAGTTTTCCACATCCCATCCCACAACCACACTTATTCAGCATTCTACAAGGTCAAAACAAAAACACAAAAACATATCTAGTTTCTGCCCGACTTAATGGGTTACATAGGTACCTAGTCAACACATATTTTATTGAATAATCCAAATCAAACTTACAAGCAAAACTCGAAGCAAAATAACTATAATAAGCATAAAAACCACATATTCAAACTTGCTTGGCCGTCACGCCCTATTGAACTTGCAAGTTGCAATACTCTCAAAAAAAAAAGTCTGCTTGAACTAGAGTAGGGCTGTTAATAGATGAATTTACCCAAACTAGATTTAAATCTCATTTTCATTCATTTTTTTCTTTTTTTTTTTGTATTGTTAATACTTTTAGTATAATGATTAGGTAAGGAAAATTATTTTAAACTGTGCTTTCTATTGTTGTTGATTGATTTTTTTTTTATGTATGCTACCATACTGAAACTGCTGTTTTTATCTTTCTGTTTTTTTTTCTCTCTTTTTTTACTGTCAACACTGTGATTGTGTTTTATCCATTTATATTTTCATCTATCTTAATTATTTTTTTATCAATTTCAACTATGTACTCATTTGAAAATGGCAAGTCTGTAAATAAACATTTATTTATTTATTTATTTATTTAATTTGGACCACCCTGTACAATGTTTATGATATGTATTCACCAACTTACCATCCGTACTACAATCATCCACTAAAATTATTTCTTGTAATAAATGACTTGGTGTTTGTAAAAGAACACTCCATACAGTCCGTAGAATAACCGACATAAGCTCGTTATAAAATATCACAATTACTGATGCTTTGAGAGTTGGGGAATATTTTAGATCTTTACACCTGAAAAGTAATAACAATGGTTAGGATCAATACGTAAATTTGTTTTAAAAATGAGAATCATTGATCGATTTGGGGGAATTAGCCTCTGAGATACAGTGGGCGAGTTTGGCATTTGTATCTGAGAGAGGCTGGGGCGAAAAAATAAGCTTATAGAAAACACGTATTAGAAAAACAGACACAATGCTGGCGATGTCTGATTTTTTCACTCCACATAAAAATTCCGATAAAAAATATCAAAAATATTTTTAGTACATACTATTTCCAGAGAAACTCTAGTTTTTCTATCTCCTTCTTTCAATGGTGTTCTATCTATAGGTTTGTCCGAGAGTATGTCTTTGAGCTCTCAGATGGTAATTCCGAACTCACCCAATGTCAAAGTTTCCAATGTGTTAAAATTGTAATTTATTATTATTATTTCAATACTGCATATATTCAAAAATTCAGAAAGGTCTATAAAATATATACCTACCGGTTAAAAAAAAAAGGAAATGCCAATATAGAAATCATAGCTAGGGATTGTTTACTCATTTTCAATTAAATTATTCAGATCAAGGAAAAGATAATTTTTCAATTCAAGTTAATAAAAATAATGCTTATCTTATAATCCAGAGAGTAAAAATGCATTTAGTCTAGACCAAAATAAAAGATTAATAATTTTAATCTAAAATTTTGTTTATTTTACTCTCTTGACTATTGACCCGTTTCTTTGAGTAGGTACATACTTCACGTATTCTCAAAAAAAAAAGATTCTTACTTGCTATTTCTTGGGTCCCTTAGTTTCCTGTCCAAAGGCATTCTATCACTTAAAACAGTATTTAAAGCTGATTTTTTGAGGGCCTTTTCTCCAGCTATTGAGTCTTCGCCACTAAGAAAGGCAGGTTCTCCATTGTCACCTAATCCTGAAAGAAAAAAACTTATGAAGTATTTATCTAAAAATGAAATTGAATACTGTGTTCAGTATAAACATGATTTTTATAAAAGGAATTTCAGAAACAAGTTATTACTCTAATGTAACTGAATAGGCTCCTTGCATCAAATTTTTTTATTGTTGATTTCGATAGTCCATGAAAAATAAGTCAACACGTGTTTTTTCTTTTTCTTCTCAGTTAAAAATTTACGGAGATACAACGCTATGAAATATGCCTACGACGTCAGTTATCATATAAATTAGTGACATTGCACATGCTCAGTATATCTATACAGTGTGTCGCAAATTGGTGGTGCATGTATTAGGATATAGGAAACTGTAACAGATACGAGGGAGGTTAAATGGGAAAAGTTTTAGACAATTATGTTAGACGTTTAATAGCGTCTGCAGATTAGACTCAATCTGCTATTCATATTTTTGCGATATTCAGAAAAAACTGAAAAGTTGCTTTTTTGAAAATAGTAAATCTTTTATTTTTGAAAATTTATCAAATCTGTGAAAACACTTTCAAAACAACTCTTTGTGCAGAATACGCATGTGCGATTAGATTTTTTCTAGCACGTTTCTGTTTTCTGGAACTATCATCAACTTCATTATTTCTTATAGCCGCCATATTGGATTTTCATACCGTGAAATAGAGTGAAAAAAAAACAAAATCAATGATATAATACACTTGACCAAAATAATTAGTTTTGGCCATAGAAAATACGTTTTTATGTTTTGATCAACTTGGCAACGTCGCATTACAGAACATTTAGTATAAGGAAGTAAATTAATTTATAAATACAAATGAAAACAATAAAAATCCAAAGGGGTGATGTCAGGAGACCAAGCTGGCCAAGGAACTGGACCGCGATTAGCAATTACCCTCTCTCTAAATGTATCATGCAAAAACTCCTGAACTTCTCGGGTCTTGTGAGCACGGCAACCATCCTTTTGGAACCAATCCATACGGGATTCCTAAAAAAAATAAAAACAAAAATGCATAGAAAAAAATACGATGCGTGTAATAATAACACAGATCCCAATAATGCCGCACCACACAATAAACGCGAAACGAACTTGCAACCTTTGCTGAGCTCTCAATTTTGCATTTTCTGTCGACCAGAAGTGGAAATTGTGAATTGTGACGATTAAATACTCCACAATTACTAAATCTAAATCTAGTCTTATCGGAACATCAAAATAATTTGGAAAAGCTGGATCTGCATTGCGTTCAATAATGTACCAGTTACAAAATTCGAGCCTCCATCCTCCTTAGATAGCTATCTCCTCGAAGGCTAGATATTAGATATGAGGTATGTGAAGTTTTCTACCAGCTTCTCGGGTCGAAGATGACGAATTTTCATTAAAATTTTGTTCAATGGCAGCATCACGCCTGAAGCGCAGTTCGATATGGTTTGGTTTCAACAAGACGGTTGTCCTGCTCATAATACCCAAGAAATTCAGGAATTTTTGCATGATACATTTACATTTAGAGAGAGAATTGCTAGTTGCGGTCCAGTTCCTTGGCCAGCTTGGTCTCCTGACATTACTCCTTTGGATTTTTATTGTTTTCATTTGTATTTATAAATTAATTTAAGGCGAGTTTAAACAACTTCATAACTTTAATTTAGTGCGTAATTCACAATTTAGTGCATAAGCTTTAAAGTTAAATTTATTAATTTCTATGGAAGCGTTTATACATCTATTTAATGCTCAATTCATAATTTAGTTCATAATGGATAACCTTAAAAGTTCCCAACTTTTAACTTTTATGCATTAAATTATGAAAAAACTAGACCTTTTGAGTTCTATCAGTGTCAAATTTCAAAATATCAATAAAATATTAATGAAATTTCAAAAATTATGTATTAAATTATGAAGTTGTTTAAACTGGGGTATTGAGTTATGTAATAAATTACGCATTAAATTATGAAAAAATTACGACTTAAATTTATCAAAAGTTGTTTAAATCCGCCTTTACTTCCTTATACTAAATGTTCTGTAATACGACGTTGCCAAGTTGATCAAAACATAAAAACGTATTTTCTATGGCCAAATTTAATTATTTTGGTCAAGTGTATTATATCACTGATTTTGTATTTTTTCACTCTATTTCACGGTATGAAAATCCAATATGGCGGCTATAAGAAATAATGAAGTTGATGATGGTTCCAGAAAACCGAAACGTGCTAGAAAAAATCTAGTCACACATCCGTATTCTGCACAAAGAGTTGCTTTGAAAGTGTTTTTTTGACAGATTTGAGAAATTTTCAAAAATAAAAGATTTACAGCCCATTTTCAAAAAACCAACTTTTCAGTTTTTTCCAAATATCTCAAAAATGTGAATAGCTAGAGTCAATCTGCAAACGATATTGAACGTCTAACATAATTGTCTAAAACTTTTCCCTTTTAACCTCCCTCGTATCTGTTATAGTTTCCTATATCCTAATACATGCACCACCAATTTGGGACACCTGTATATACAAAACTTAATATTTGTATAACTTCCAGAATAATCATATTTGGGCGAAATTTAAAAAAAGTAACGATTTTTTTTCGATTTCCTACAGTTTGCAATAAACAATAATCAATTTAATTTTCCATGCAAGTACCCTATTGTACTTAGGTGTTATGTTAGCTTTGAGTCCAGCTTTAGAAAAAAAAGATATGGGTCCACCGAGGGTCCACTTACTTGGGGTGCGTAAATACCGAGGGGTGCGCAAATGTTAAAAAAGTGTACCTACACCAGAATTAATTAGGTATTAGGGTATTTAAAAATTAAAAGTAATTACCTAAATGATATTTAAGTAAAAAATTAGGTAAGTATTCAAAGATATTTGAACGGGTATTTCAAAGTATTTCAAATATTAAAATAATTAATTTAGAGGATTCAACAGAGATTTAAAAATATTTAAATTGTATTTAAAAGCAAAGTGTACACTCGAGGGGTCAACCACTCTGTAAAAATGTGTACACATATTGCGAAAATTTCAGTATTTCGCGAAATTCAAAGTATTTCAGGTGGTAATTCGAACCTGGTTTTTTGTGGTATTCCCGAGTACTTCGAAGTATTTGGAGGTAATTTGAAGTATTTTGAGGTAATTCAAAGTATTTCGAGGTAATTCGAAGTATTTCGCGGTAAGCTGAGGTATTTCGACCTTCTTACTTATTAGAAGAAGTTTTTTGTATGTACCAAGAACAATTATTTCTTTATCATCTAAAATTAGAATATTATAGAATGAATATTATAAGTCGATCTTCGAACAGGCTAAATATTATGACATAGGTAATTTGGATTTACTGCTACTTTACTGCAAATTAATTGCAACAAATGAAAAGATATACTACCTGCTATGTATAAGTAATCAATGTCAGTTAGTTAATAGTACAGGGTCATCCAACGACGACTGAACAGGGGATTATTTTTGACTTTCCCTGTATTTTTGAGAAAATGGCCAATTGAAACATTTTTTTCTGGAGAACTCAATAAAAGTACCAAAAAATTATTTGAACCAAAAACCATAGAGTTACGCCATGAATGAGCTGTTTTTTCAAATGGTAAACCGTGTTATTTGTATGATTTTTGGAGAAGTCGCATTTTTTACATTGTATTCTGTTGAAAATATTTGATATTTTGATAGCTATTTCTATTTTATTTTAATGTTTTTTTTTTCTTATTAATTTTGGCTTTACCAATACATGGCAACAAAATACAAGATTAAGTATACCTTTATCACCTATCAACCAATTAAATCCAATAAGTATAGCTGATATTATTAAGCATAAAACATTGAAATAAAATACAAACAGCCATCGGAATATGAAATATGTTCCACAGAATAGACGTGAAAAATGAGACTTTTCCAAAAATCATACAAAAAACATGGCATTCTATTTAAGACACAGTTCATCCATGGCGTAACTTTTTGGTTTTTGGTTCAAAAGATTTTTTATTACCATTTTTGAATTCTCTAGGAAAAAAATATTCCTATTTTGGATTTTCTCAAAAATACAGGGAAAGTCAAAAATTGCCCGTGTTCAGTCCTCATTGGATCACCCTGTACCTAACAGTCACCTGCATCACTAACTATTGATTTAATTGTCTGTCCTGTGTGTCCGAATAAAATCCATCATATCAAAAGACACAAAAATCCGAGCAAAAATTTTTCACTGCGATCCACAAGAAGAATCGTCAATCAATTTTTTTAGAAGTATTACGGGATTTCGTGCAGTAATTCGACGGTATTTCGCGTACTTTGCCGGTAATTCCATGGGACTTCGCGTACTTCAACGGGAATACTTCGCATTTCGAGGTACTTCACGGTATTTCTAGGTACTTCGAAGTATTTCGGAGGTAATTTGGGCCAAGTGTACATGTATTTCGGGAAGTGGTTGACCCCTCCTGTAAACCATATTTAAATTTCTGCGCACCTCTCGGTAAATACTCTCTTTTTTAGAATATGTAGGTATATACATACTTAGAGCCAGTTTATTCACCTTCTAATAAACTGTCAGGAAATGCAATCTGATGGATTAAACACAATGGGTAATTCCAACCGATCAATAGGATTATGGATCAGTACCTAAATTTATCTTGCAGATAGTTACCAGAAAGTTTATCTGAAGATGAATAAACTGCCTTAGAAGTCAAGAATATTCCTAGCCAATTAGTTAAAAAGTAGGTATTCAAATACTTGATAACTGTTGCAAGAAAGATACAGGCTCAAATGGGTCATTGAGGCAAACTTATAAGAATCGAGTTGGCTATTGCCCTGATCTTAGGGGATAAAGGGCTACTTGTAAAGGCATATCCAAATTGAATTGACCTTATAGGACATGGCCTAACTATTTGCAAAACGCCCGGGTACTTATTTAATTAGTCTATTTTGACCAGGAAATAATAAACCAGCAACGTGAAATTTCTATGTGGACTTTGTTTATTTTTGAACTAAACTTAATGGAACCTTTTATTATTTATACAGGAATTTACGGGCATGTATCTTAAAACAAATGTGCATCAAAAAGTAAATCTTACAACAAGGTACAGGAATAATCAGATATCACTTCTACACCATTTCAACCTCAATTTCGGAAAAAGTAACTTTTATTTAAGAAAATGTAGTCATTTTCGGAAAAAGTCAAATTAATTTCAGAAAAAGTAAAGTTAATTTCGGAAAAAGTAAATTCAAATTCAAAAATAGTAAATTCAAATTCGGAAAAAGTAACTTCAAATTCGGAGAAAGTACATTCAATTACGGAGAAAGTAATGTTATTTTTTAGAATAATTCGAATTGATAAAAAATAAATTCAGTGACTATACCTCGAGTCGAACCTGTACCCTGACGGGTTCGCTTCCAACCAAGACCTGTGTACTTTACCTAGGTTTTATGTACATACATATATTATTTTGTAGGTCTAATGATGCTCATATGAGCGAAACACATGTGACTATTAAGTGGATAAAATAAGAAACAATTTGTAGACTTGGTAATTTTTTTTTTTTCTTTTATTGCTTGTATTGCTTAAAAATTGGGTCTCTTTGAGAAATACGAGGCACGTCGCAATGTTGCCACTATTAACTTTCGTTTTACTTTGACATACTACCTATGTCTAGTAAAATTTGCTATTACTAAAGCAACGAAACATCGATTTTTTTATGTATAGATAGTGTATTATGATGAACACAATATAAAAAACTACTCACTTTTTTATACATGTCGTGAATTTGATTGCGAATAGAACTAACATCAAGGTGATCTCGATTTGTAACCCGCTTCCTCACCCGCTTCTTATGTGGACGTTTTTTCTTTGGTGAATTTAACGCTAAATTATACCTAACTTTTTGAGAGATTTTACTCACAGTGGTTATACCAATATTCAGTGCAGCTGCAACACGCTGGAAAAATATTCCCAATCAGAGCTCCAGAAGATTTATATTTGATAGTATCAATATACTTCACGTCTCTAACGCTATTTAATGTCAAAAAGGAGCCCCCATTATCTCGTTCTTGTTCAATGTAACTAATTAGAGACGCAACAAGTTTCTGACTCTGACTATTTAATGGCTTTGGCATTTTATAGATACACAAATAGAAATAATTTCAAATTATTAAAATCAGTAACCGCAGATTTGCAGTAATATTTGGCAACATAACCCACGAGTGCCAACTTAAATGCCATTTTATCGGCCGATTCGGTTAAATGCCAACAGTGTTCTGTCTTTTTTTAACTAAGGTTAAATAAAAAGGAAAATGAGCTCTCAGCTTGAAACGAATTTTAATTTCTTAAGGCCGCTTTACAGCTTGCAATTTTATCTGCAATATGCAAGAAACTTGAACGAGGGCATGCGCAGAAGTGAGTCAGCTGATTGGTTTCTGCAAGATTCTTGAAACTTGAATGGCATTGCAAGCAATCGGTTTGGTGCCATTTTTCTTGAAGGTTTTCGTGCAAGCTGGGGAATTTTTAGCAATTATGATGCTTAAAGTTGCTGCTATTGCTTTCTTCTTTTTATATCGACTTAATAATCACTTTTTTTATTTTTGGAAAATGCAAACATCAATAACACAACATTAAAAACAAAAAAGTATGGTTGAGGTTAGAGAGAGAAACAAGTCAAATTGCAAGGTGTAAAACGACGTGCAAGAAATCTTGAATGCAATTTTTTTGCATGCAAAAAATTGCATTCAAGTTTTCTTGCAAGCTGTAAAACGGCCTTTACAAACTGCAATTGGCAATAATTTTGACGTCATTGATCACGTGCATACACTGTTTAAATAATTTCACTATACATATAGTTGGGGAGCTGGCGTCAAAAACATGCAAGAGTTTTCGCAAGGCGGATATTTTCAAAATAGGTCGTACTTTAGTGCTAGAATGCTAGTGTACAGTCAGCACTCACAGTTCCGGGACAGCTGGCTCTGGGACGCGGGCAAAGTTGTAATTTTAAGAAGCATCTAAACTGTTTTCTCAAAGCTCAAAATTTTTAGAAATTTTGCACATTATCTGTTTGAAGGTCACAGATAACGTATGTAAATCGTCAGACGTCTAGTTCGTTGCAAAAAGGGGGTCAGACGTCCTCAAAGTTTTTATTTTATGGCATTTTCTTCGGTGTCCTGTCAAAATATATTTTTGCAGGTATTTGACAAATATATTTGAAGAAAATGCCATAAAATAAAAACTTTGAGGACGTCTGACCCCCTTTTTGCAACGAACTAGACGTCTGACGATTTACATACGTTATCCTGTGACCTTCAAACAGATAATGTGCAAAATTTCTATAAATTTTGAGCTTTGAGAGAACAGTTTAGATGCTTCTTAAAATTACAACTTTGCCCGCGTCCCAGAGCCAGCTGTCCCGGAACTGTGAGTGCTGACTGTACACTAGCATTCTAGCACTAAAGTACGACCTATTTTGAAAATATCCGCCTTGCGAAAACTCTTGCATGTTTTTGGCGCCACCTCCTGGACTAATAGATAAATGACTTCAATTCAAATTATTCTATAAAAATAACATTACTTTCTCCGTAATTGAATGTATTTTTTCCGAATTTGAATTTACTTTTTCCGAATTTTAAATCAGAGTAAATGGAGAGCTAACCAGGGCATTGTGCCGGGTTCGGTGATCGGTCTGATGCTGTTCACAGCATATCCTCTTGATTTGGTAGAACCCCAGGTGGAACTAATCCAATCAAGTGTTAAATTGTTCGCAGATGATTGCAAAATCTATGCAAATCCTTTGAAAATGTGAATTTACTTCAAACTGATCTTAAGAACATTGAAGAGTGGTCAAAAATATGGGGAATTAAATTGAACTCCTCAAAATGCACAATACTAAGGATTGGTCCAAATAACTCTAAAAAAGACTAAATTCTTAATGACTTTGCTTTGACATCAGTAAATGAACAAAATGATCTGAGAGTTGTAGTAATAACCTACTTGAAGTGGGAGAATCACATAATTAAAATAACTAAAAAAGCTAACTTTTCTGTATACTTAATAAACCATGCCTTAAGAGACCACTCCATCGAGATGATATCTACCTTCTACAAAAGCCGAGACAAAAGCTATATAAGGCCAAAAATAGAATATGCTTATACTGTGTGGAATCCATATTACATTAAGGATACTTATAGAACTTCTTGAGGAGATTCAGCGCAGAGTGACAAAAATTCCCCCACAGTTGAAACAGTTGCCATATCCGGAAAGATTAGTCAAATTCAATTTGACCTCCCTTAAAGAAAGAAGGCACAGAGGCGATTTAATTGAAACCCACAAAATAAGCAGTGTAATCTGATAAATATTTTCCATCCATGTCGAAATCCTCATCTTTGTAGCCACTCTAAGAAGCTTGAAAAGGAAAGATCATCAACACTACCTAGGAAAAACTTTATAGTAAACTGAGTAGTGCCTTCTTGGAATTTGCCTCGGAATTTGCTTTGCCAAAATACACTCTCAGGACCAAACACTAATTTTTTTTTAAATCGTGTTGACAGAGAATTGAAAGAATACTCAGAAAGAATAATTCATTATGGTACCTACATAAACTAAAATCTCACATATCTTTTTGAAATTTTGTTGAAGTAACAATAACTTCATCGGTTTGGACTGCCTGCTATTGTAATTCTAATAATAATAATAAAATAAAAATAAACTTCTAATTATCTATCTTATTTATATGTTTTCTCATAGGTCTTTTTTTTTATATTATCAATTGTTGTCCTAATTACCTACTAAATAACGAGTAAATAATATGAAATCTTACCTGGTATAATCTTCATTTCCCATTCTCTTAATTTATTCTCGAAAACATGATCAGATGTCCTAACCAATTTATCAGTGTTCCTCAAACTCCGTAAATTCTCAGTTAGATATTTCAAGTAGAGCAAAAGAACAGAGCCGATTACCAGCAAAACAAATAATAACTTTATATAGATCCTTTTTACTCGAAAGCATCTAATTAACATCGTAGCCTGATTGTTTAATTAGCATACTAAAAAACTGTACCTACTGTGTAATGTATACTAAAATATTTATTTTGCCAGCACTGAGCACTTACAAACAGCGCAACAGTTTTTATGATTGAAATGGGATTCGATTTAAAATTTTCAACTTATCGGCTTTCGATTAAGGATTATTCTAATAATAAATTTCACATTTTATTTAAATTGAGTTATTGTTTAGGTTTTAAATGTGGGAAAATAAAAAAATAAAACAACACTGGCACTTGTGTACGTACTTGTTGATAAAAATTTGTTGAGGTTATGTTATTATGTTTGATTTCAAGTGACATTCGGGCTCTAGGGTATTTTTCAGAAGTAATGTAACCAACCGGTATCTGTAAAAAAATCCGGTGGATAAATAATGACATTGGATAAATGCAAGAACCACCAAGAACACTCCAAGGATATTACACATATATATGTATAGTTATATTTTTTTCAAGAGTTTAGAACACTGAAGCTACTTGCTCCGGTGTTAGTCGACCCGATTTAAAAAGAATAGATGCGCTGGCTTTTGTGCATAATGGTAAGTTCGGTGTTCGGTCGAGCTAGAGCACTTCAGGGTGCAAAAAACACTTTTCGAAAGGAATAAGCAAGCGCGAAAAGCCCCGGAGCTGTGCTGTTCCGGAGCTCCTCCTAGGTGTGAAAGGAATACAATTATTGTATAAGATCTAATTTTTTTCTTCTGCTCACAGGTTCTCACAGCATCGAGATTTTATGTCACAGGATGCTACCAGGGCCCGTATTCTGGTAACCGGGGAACGGTGTTTCCAAAGAACGATTGCTCTGTCTCAGTCGCCCATATTATTATTTTCATAATACTGACAAAGATAGAGCAATCGTTCTCTTGAGAACGTTGTTCCCCCCCAAGTAGCACATACATGTCCCTGCGACTACGTATTAACCAAATACAACGTCGCCAGAAGTGCGGATAAGTGTCCGTCAATGATTTTTCGTTAAAATTACGTCGTGCCGTCGTCCTTAATATGTGGTCAAGAAATCGGACCTTTATCTAGCTCAATTTTGACGTAATAAATGAAAACCAGTTTTAACGTTAAATTGATAACGTGAATCCGTCGTTCTCTTATATACTTGTGACCTCTGAAACGTCTTCTAAACGTCGTCTAATACGACCAATCATAAGGTAAGATAAAAATCGTAAAATGGACGTTATAATATTGTACCAAATTCAACGTTGCATTGAAGACGTCAATCTGTCGTTATCTTCATGTCCTGCGACCTCTGAAACGTTTTGAAAACGTCGTCTGACACGACCAATCATAAGGTCAGATAGAGGTATTATAAAAACGTCCGACCGACGTTAAAATTGGACACAGGTAAAATTAGGTGTAGGATTTCATACTTTTTGAGTCGTTCATTAATGAACTGTCATCAGTCAAATAAAAACATAAACAAACAATAGATATGGTATTACGATAAAAAGTTTTCACCAATTTGAAAAATTTGCTTTTATATTTTTGATATAATATGGGACAAAACAGGAGCTTCAAATACTCATCCACATATTACAAAAGAAGATTTTTTTTTAGATTTAGTGAAAAGGGAGAAATTTATTTCAAACATGAAGGAAATCGAGCAAGAAGGGAAATTGAAACTATTGGAAGAGAACCCTGTAATTTCCAATTAGGAAATTAAAAAATATTCAATAGATGTCGGGTTAAAAGACAATATTCTAAGATTTTGAACATCAAAAATAAAACATTTACAGTTTCCTGAAAAATTTCAAATAAATGAGAGCGTTGAAGCACCTAAAGAACTGGTTACGATAGGTTACCGTATGGGACCTATAGTTAATCTAGGTTTATATAATGTTTGTACTATTTATATTACCTATGGTCCTATGTTTATAATAGATTAAGTCCATTTTCATGACGAAAACACGCATTAGGTTAGGATAAGGTGCAAATTATTAACTTGGCCATTTTATGTATCGCAAGGTCCTATCTAATTGTCCGCCATTGCTGCACGTTTAATAAAAATAAAATAATATTCGAAAAATCCTTGAAAAATCAATCCTTAATAAGGAAATTTAGTCAAAATTACTTATTTTTGTGTACATCGGACTTGCCCAAAGATGTTTTTGACCCATCGAAGCTATACAAGAAATTATGTAATTTACAGATTTATTTCTATTTTTTTGGAAAATATTAACAAAATAGGAGCCCGTTTGTTTTGTGTGCATATCATAATTATATTTGACAGAAAAGTTGACTTCGTTTGAAATTTTTGTGCCTACAGAAGCTAAATATTTAGTTTCACTTATTTTATTGTTAACAAGGCCAGGCGCCATTATTATTTTATGTCCCCCAATATTCTTATAGGTAGGTACCTATTTATTTTGTTTTTAATATGATGAGTTGGGAAATAAAATAACACTAATAATAAACGAAAAGTGCGAATTTGGTGCAATATATTAAACCTGGAACGTCCTTTATTTGGTTTTTGTTTTTAGTCATGGTTTACGACGTTTAGTAAACGTTCAAATCTGGTTGTGTATGCTGACGTATAAGTTAAAAACTAGTATAGCTTCGCGACCTGCGACGTCGTTACAACCATGAAATGATTCTCCATTATGGTGAAAATACGGGTTGTATAGTCGTCTAATTGACGTCGCGTCATAACGTCAAGACATCAATGACGACGTTGTTAGGACGTAAAAGCGCTGCTTGGGCCAGTTACGAGAATACGGTCCCAGGCAGTTGTACCATCTGAAAAATTATGTCATCAGCACCTACTAGTACTAGGTTTTAATTCTTCACAGGAGCTTTGTATACCAAATTTGTTTTCATTTTGATTTGATTTGATAATTTGAAATAATCTTTGAGCGAAATAATAAATTGAAAAACTGTTTATCTGGTTACAAATTCAAATCAGTCAAATCTCCCCTCCTTAACGCTCATTGACTGAACCTACCGAATCGAGTGACGTTTAAGTGACGTCACTCATCGGCCGATTGTTGTCGGTTGCCTTTCCGGTAACAGTCAAAATAATACACACTACTACTTCAGGACAGCCTATCCGCATAAGACCTGTGTGTAACAAATCTCCCAAAGCCCCCACCACGCCAAACCACCAGTAGGGAGCATGTCGTTTCTCGCCTTGACGTAGGCTGTTTGCACCTAAGGTTATGATTTCGCGAGCTTTTGCTTTATGCATTAATTAACATTCTGGAACAACTATTTTTCAATTCTCGTTTTCATCTTCCTTTTTGCCTATTATATGTCAATCAAAATTCATAAAAATTCTAAACTGACCCTAACCAATAGTGCAAACAGCTGACGACTTAGTTGCGACGTCGGAAATGGTCACACACCAATATGGTGGCGATTACCAAAAATGAGGCTGATAAGCAATCCTTAGTAGTGTGTATTATCCTGGGGTAACAGTGGCATACAGAATAGCGTCGACTGGATCCGGTCGGCCGCGTAACCAGCGGCGCCGACTTTTGAAAGTCCTCATGGGTGCAGGATAATAATAAATGACTTTTTCTACAAACGTCACTAAAAGTGTCATTTTTAACGCATGATGTCAGTGTCTAAAATGCCATTTTATGACACTGGTGCTAAAAGTAATTACTTTTAGCACTGAGTGCTAAAAGTAATCACTTTTATTGCGTTTGTAGAAAAAATAGTGTATGATATTCGTGCTAAAAGTGATTTTATTTTGTTCAAAGGGATAGAAAACTCCGCCTCCGGCGTCGTGTCCCAAACGTCCCTTTTCATAATATAAAATGTAACTTTTAGCACTTATATCATAAATAACTATTATAAATTTGTTTATAGGGGGAAGGGGTGGGCGAAAATTATTCTCCGGATGCCACGCCACGCCCAAAAAGTCTATTTTATAGTGTTTCCGATTGCTAAATTCGGGCAGCATTAGAGCAAACCTGGCCAAATTTTTGTATTCGATTTTATCCCCCCCGTATGTCTGGATAGGTAGTATAAATTTTAAACAAACATTTAATAATGTTTTTATTTTTATTTATACTGGGTGTCCCCGTTCAACTGGTCAAAAATGCTAGGGTATATAGAGGAACCATAGAGAACTAATAGGACACCGATAGTCGGAATTGCGCCGTTTCCAAAATACAGGGTGTTGAAGTTTAAACAACCCCCTTTCATATCATCTGAAGGGCTAATGCTAGGCTGTTTAAATTTCTAGGGATTATTGATGTGGGAATGATGTTTAAAAATTTGTATAATGCATCCCCATTTTCTACCTGGAACCACCCAAAAAAAAATACGGTGTCCTATCTCAAATTAGTTTTCCATGGTTCCTCTATATATTTTCGACCAGTTGAACGGGGACACCCTGTATAAACACAGTATCCCATTTTGGTTGTATGTACCATCGTCACCAAAAGTAACTGGGACAGCATCACATTAGCTCTTGTCCTATTATATGAATTTTATTGTCAAATATTTGTCAAACTATGCATTAAATGCATTGAAATGAATGACAGTAGAATTAGTCCAGGAAATTATTATGCATTATTTGTGTCCCAGTTACTTTTGGTGACGATGGTACATACATAAGGGACATCTCACTTGCTATTGGAGTTAGAAGGATACAGTTTTCGCGAACGTTGGCTACACCGGCCTTTCCGTTTTTCAGATACAAGGTGTTTTTGAAAAAGTTGCATTTTGAGACACCTCTTGTATCTTGGTTCTCTCATAAGTGATCGAAAAGGGGACAACGAGTTCTTATAGATCTTTCTACATAGATTCCAGTGGCGAAGTCAGTTTTTCTCTAGAAGTGACAGTTTTTGATTAGTGAACCAAACATACGTTTTTTCAAATGAGACACCCTGTATTAATGGCTCATTGGATAGCTCTGCTTCTGCTGATTTCATTAGTATAAAACTATAAAGTTCGATAGGTATATCTCCATCCTGTTTTTTTTGTCATAAGGAACAAAGTTTCAGAAAAGGACTTTGCACCTTAAGGGAAATGAGAAAGTGAAACACTGCAACACTCATGACAAAACAGATAAAATTTTTTTGCTCGAAAACTGTCAAAGATAAAGCTATCGAATTTTATATCATTGAAATCAGCAAAAGCAAAGCTATTCAATGAGTATAATATGTAGGGTGTCTCATTTGAAATAATGTATGTTTGGGTTCATAATTTAAAAACTATCGCTTTTTAGGCTAGTCAAAATAGGTGGTTGGGGTAGAAAAAATTAGTAACAAAGTGATCTCTACGGAAATGAGTAGTCATTAGATTCCTAATTAATCCCTCAAAAATCGCACTTTGTCGCATTGGTGTTGCAAATGGCCGCCATCTTGATTTTTTTCGAATTTATTTAATATTTCGTAAAGTTTAAATTATTTCATAAAAACTCAAGGGAACTTTTTTGTGGAGAATCAAAAGTTACATATAATAAAGGAAATTTCAAGATCATTAGCTGTAAAACGAAAAAGTTATTGATATTTATTTCATTTGGCAACATGAAATTTTTCAAATCATCTGAAAAAAACTCAAATAAGTTTTTTTTTGTGCAGAATGAAAAACTATATTTAATGGAAGAAAAATTCAATAAATTTAAAAATCTAAATATTTTTGTTAAGAGGGAGCAAAAACACATGC